CTTGATGGCCCAAGGCATCATGGGCCCACTGAGCTCTAAATAAATCACCCTTATGTTGCCAGTCCAGATCCACCTGAGCCACTTCAATCTTAGCAGCCTGGTCCACCTGTTGTTTGTTTTGGTGTTCTTCAGTGGCCTGAGTCTTGGGTACGTGAGCATCTACGTGACGTACTTTTACAGCCAGATTCTCTACCCGGGCAGCAATATCTTGCCACAACGCGGCGGCCCAGATGGGTTTACCTCTGTGCTGCCAGTTGTTCTGCTTCCATTGCTGCAACCACCCCCACAGGGCATTTGCCACCATCCATGAGTCAGTATAAAGTACTGGCCGTTTTTCTCGTTCAGCAATGTCCAAGGCCAGCTGGATGGCTTTCACCTCTGCAAACTGGCTCGATTCACCTTCTCCTTAGTCAACCTGGTGTCCCCTGGCTCCCCGGGACTCACCATGCTGGCCTTAGCGCGGACGCCCGCTCGGCATAGCGCACTGCAGCCCAGAACTCCTGGGCTCAAGCGATCCGGCAGGCTCAGCCTCCCAAGTAACTGGGACTACATGCAAATGTTAGCCAAACTAGAACACTTGCAGTACTTGCAAGCTCTGGTTTCAATTGAATCTTGACTGGGTTGTTTCTGTTTACTGCTGTATCCCAGTCTTTTGAGATGGAATACTGGCATTTATCAGTCTAGCCTGCTAAAATCTGGTGAGAGTAAAACTGGAAAAGTGGCATGGACCTTGCACTATTATTATCCTTTGCGGAGGTCCACTGGCTCAGATTAATTGCTTCCAGTTTACTTATGAAGAAAAATGCTGTGTCAGAATGGTTGTTGGCTAAATGTGCTCGAACACTTTATCAGAAAACCCTACTACTTATGTCCCTTTTTTTAATGATGGCAGGCAGTGCTCCTTCATTCTGTGTATAGCTGTATACTTAATGTCTAACCCCCACAGTCCATATGTCTGTTTCCCAAGTACTGTAAGGAATGTTGCCATTGGCACATACAAACAGGTTTTCATTTCTGAAGCAGTGCATGTTTCTTAAAAACCTAGGTGTGTTTGGCAGCTAAAACTAATGCCTTTGTGGTCTGGAGCTAAAATTAGCTGCCCTGGGAGAAGGATTTTCATGCACTACAGCATGAAAACACAGAGGGTGACAAACAAAGCATTTGCAGTAAAGTTGCTGAGAAGTGCTCTGGCTACATGGGGTAGAGGAATAGCTCAATTAAGATGATTGTTTTCTGCAAGCTAATGGCTGTTGTCAATGTTGGCCTTTCTTTTTTACCTTCTGAGTGAAGGTGAGAAAGCTTTTACGACAGCAATTATTGGAGCCTCTGAACTTTAACAAACATGTGACTGTTCACCCAGGAGCTCTAAATGTTCCTTAATAAATTGTTCTCATTTGGGTGAGACTAAGGATTCTTGGTTCTGTAAATTTAATTTCTAAACAGGAGCTATCACTCACATGTTGAAGACAAGATCATAAAAGACAGTTTAACTGATAATTTGAAAACACTGTAAAAAAGTCCCATTATTAAAAAGTGCCTGTCTTTTGCTGATGCCCCCAGCTTCCAGAGTGTTCATATTGGAAACTACTTCTGGAGCATTTGCATCACTGCATAGTGCTGCAGCTGCTGCCCAAAGACATTAGTTGAGTTTGTAATATTGTCTGTGCTCAAATCCAGTTCCACTGTAATGCAGAAGGATAAATGTTTTAGATAGTACTGCAAAGCAGAAATCTGGTCTGGAGGAACTCGGAGGTCTGGATTTGAGACATTTAAGATATCTTTGTAGTACCTTTGCACTCATTCCATACAGCAGAGACCTTCCCAGGAAGAGCAACCCAGAATATTATTCCAAATGTAAAATTCAAATGTTGGAAAGATATGTAGAAAAACAACAAAAATGAACCTATAGAAGTAGGCTATTTAGTCCTCGCTGCACTGAATCTAATAAACCTTTAGCCTTTTATTATATTTGGCACTTTGTATTTGCAGTTCTGTTTGGGATTGAATTACATTAAAGTATAGTATAGCTGAGAGAAATTAGATTACCCAGAAATAAAACAGGCTGAATGCAGGAGCTAGAAGGGCAACATGTACTTCATTGAAAAGTACAAGGAAGGTGAGAGAGTACCCTCAGACAAGACACGTGAGTTAAATAAAGATGTCCAAAGGGAGATTGAAAATGTCTGAGAATCATTTTAATTTCTTTCAGCAACAGTATCCTCAAATATTCTCTCTGGAATTATTATCTAACTTGGATTATTTTTAAATGATTCCTTTGAAGCTGTGCTGGATTCAGTTGAAGGGAGCACAGAAGGTACAATATCTTTCACTGACTCCAGGCTCTGTCAATTCCAGACAGGCATGTAATAGATGCTTCACTCAGGTCCATGGAACATCTGTTCCATTTCTACTGGCAAAACACCTTCAGTCACTTATTTAAAAATAAAACTAAATTAAATTAACAAAGAATCAAGAAAATAACAACTAAAAAATGCTAACATAAAAGCCAAAGCACTGATGATATTCCATGAGAAGACAGTGGAAGAGATCAAAGTATTGCTAATATTTTCATCTCTGCAGTAGGAGGGAATTAGGTGAAATGTACCTGGATGAACTTGGAAGCAAGTCTCAGCCAGTACTGTGAAGGCAGAAATCACAAACTGTCAATAGTCATTGTCAGTATATACCGGAGGAAATTTCCTTCCTAATCCAGGTATGTTCTGTCTGCCATAAACATCTCCGATTTGCTGGCTGTTTGGACTAGGTTTCTGACTGGAAGGTCAGAGTAGGAGATCAAGGAAGATTAAGGACCCGGAGTATGCCAGTGACTCCCACTCTGCATTTGTGATGGTTGGTAACTGGGGCTTGTATGAATATGGTATCATATAGAGCAACAAGAAGTCTCCAAAGCAAAGATAACTTGTATTTGCTGCCAGGATAGGCCTTTGAACCAGTTCCAGTTTGATTTCAGAGGAGTCCTTACAGGCTGCTTGATGTTCTGGTGTGCACACCAAGCGTGCTCCCTGGTATGGCAGTGTGGTAGAGATTTGAACTTAAATCAGCCCTTTCTGTATCATTCCATGTGGTTTTATAAAGGGCTGCAAGCAACTCTGAATGTTAGCAACTTCTTTTGGGTCCTCAGGGGTCCATGGCACAGTACATTCAGATAAACACTGATAAAGAGCAACACTTACGAAGCTAAGAATGCTCCACCCTATGCTCTTCCATTAGATGAGTAAAGGAGCCATGGGGATTGGAAGGCTGGCAAAGCTTTTTTGCTGAAGACCCCTCCTATTGTCTAACCATCTTCTGCGTGCTCATTTCTTTTCCAGCCTCTCTACAAGTGGACATTGTTCCAAGCCAGGGGGAGATCAGCGTTGGAGAATCTAAGTTCTTCTTATGTCAAGGTGAGTGATGGCTTATGGCATCAGTTGTCTTCATGCTGGGAAGGTTAATCAATGTATTAACTCTGGGATAAAAGCTCCAGTGCCAGCTCTAGCTGCAAGATCTCTTGCTCTTTCTTTCTCATATGCCCTTATGGTTTATAAGACTGAGTAGCAAAGGCAACATATGCTGTTTACTGGAAACAGTAAATGCATTCTCCCTTGAGAGCTGGCAACAGAAAGCAGCTCCAGCAAACAGATTTTAAAATGAACAAACAGGTACCGAAGTGTTGTCTCCAAGCTGGAGCAATAGCCACAACAATAGCACCTTGCATCATTCCACAGCTCTTTGATCTTTTGACTTTAGAATTAAGCCTCTTGTTTTTCCAAATTATTTCTCTAATCAACTGCTAACAGCAGTAATGGGAATGCTAGGTGACTTAAGAGTTGTTACATCTGCAAATAAGGATTTTAATGCTGCTGAAAACCTGCATTTCTTGTGACACAATTTACTGTTCATTCAGGCCACCAACTGCCCCAGGCTGTTCTCCTGCACAATGTGGTGCAGTGCTGACACAATCCATGTGCCCCAAAGCGGGTCCTACAATTTTATGGCATTTTCCAAATTAGCATCCATGTGTCCTCTTCAGAGGTTCTCCTGAAAGCAGCTGACCTGGTTTCTAATGGGAGGAATTAGTATGTTGGAGCACTGACATGATAGCATCCTGAAGCATGACACAGAGCAAATAGATGCTATAGTGAGTTCTGGGAGCAAAATGCCATCAGAGGACCACAATTCCTCAGGAGCATACTGACTGGGACAAGTAATGAGGTCATCTGATCCAGGAGTGCTTAACTGCAGAGTAATTTTTTAATGGCTATGCTTTAAAAATGAAAGTATACTGTGAGCAAGTGCTGTTGTGATGATATTTGCATTCAGAAAACTGTGGGATCAATTAAAGCCGCTTCAGTAACAGGAGTTTGTCCCAAACAACAAACACACTCTGAGGAGTGCAGAGATATGAGCTGCAAGAAAGAGACAGCCTGGAACCACTTAATAACAATTCTGATTTACACTGGATACAGCAGGAGGTTTAAGCTGATCAATGCCAGAACTGCTGCTACAGCAATGTCACCATTTTGGTATGCAAAGTAGCCTAGCCTGCAAGTACGGGTATTTATTGAAAACACGATGGAGCAGAAGCAGGAAGAGATTTTTATTTCTCGGGCTGATCTGCGTAGTGGAGGCACTGGGACATGGGATCCCCAGATGAATGGAAGGCCATTCTGGGCTAAAATTAGTGTACCCCTTTAGATTATACAACCAACCTAATATCATTTTTGCAGGACAGCAGCTGACCATTCATAGTGCTGTGAGAGAGAATTTTCTTTGCTTGCTTCTCATGTACCAGAAGCCCTTCCCCTGGGTCAGCCTTTCACATAGTGCTACTGGTTGTATTTTCCTCTGTGCAGATTTGTTGGGAACTCATTTCAATTTGCTCTGTTTTCTTTTATTGTCCCTAGTGGCAGGGGAGGCCAAACACAAAGACATTTTCTGGTTTTCCCCTAATGGTGAGAAGCTGACACCGAACCAACAGCGCATCTCAGTGGTGCGAAATGATGACTTCTCCTCCACCCTCACCATCTACAACGCCAACATAGATGATGCTGGCATCTATAAATGTGTTGTCAGTAGCGTGGAGGAGGGAGACTCCGAGGCCACCGTCAATGTGAAAATTTTCCGTAAGAGAGCGGCTCCGAGGCTATTTTCTGGTCTACCTTGCACATGTATGAGGCAAGATTAGGGAGGCAAACATTTTACCATCCTAGAAAAGGCTATTTTTAAAGGGGAAGAAGGAGGGTGAAAAGAAAGGGGATGTTAAGAAGATGCAGCCTTCTCCTTTCTTGGTTTTGAGGGGAAAGTGGGAACTAGGACCTTGGCCTGTCAGGGCATTACCAGCATGTCTACTGTTTAAATTCTTCTGAAAGACGGGAGAACAAGAGGTAGAAGGAGAACATTCTAGCGCATCATAAATGTCTGGGAGGAGTAAGCAGAGAGAGCAGCTTTTGTGGATGACAGAAATGCTATGAGATAAGATTAGTCTTCAGTAAAGAGGATCACACATTCAGAAGGATTCTAATAAGCCATCAGCATGTTGTCCCGTAGAGCCGTGATAGCAGCTCCTTCCCTTCCTGCCAGGAAGGTGAGCAGTTCCAAGTTCACATTTTCTCTTTGCAGTGTGGACAAATCGGTGAGCTAGGTAGAGCATTGATTTGGCCCACTGATATGCCTGGGAGGCAGGGCTGGAAAATGGGGTTCCTGTGTTGCAGTGCAGTGTACTGAGTCAGGCACACCTTTATTCTCCCCTTGGGAACATGAGGATTTCTAGAGAACATGTCCTCTGGGGTTTCTTTGCTTTCCTCAGGCTTGAGTCAGGAGCACAGCTGGACGTGTGCTGAGAAAGCTGCAGTGACTTTCTCCTTCCATTGTTTTCAGAAAAGCTGATGTTCAAGAATGCTCCCACTCCTCAGGAATTCAAGGAAGGGGATGATGCTGTGGTTGTGTGTGATGTGGTCAGCTCACTGCCTCCTACCATCATCTGGAAGCACAAAGGCAGGGATGTTATCCTAAAAAAAGATGGTAAGGCACAAGAGGTGTCTTGGTGCTTGTCTATTCAGGGGTCAAATGTCCATCTCCCATCAGGGCTCAAATCAGGCTCATAGAAGGGGTTCAGGAGAACAAAATGGTGGTGGTCACAAGGGAGGAGAGAAGCAATTTGTATTTAACACTAGGTCTTAGGATGTGAATTTAGTTATTCAAGGTGCTGTGGTTTGGCAATGGCAGGACAATAATGTTCCCACAGAAATGGCCATCAGGCTTTGACACTGGAATAGGCCAAGGAATGCTAGAAAAAAATTTTCAGATAAAAGAAATGCCATCAGACAGAAACGCTGCATGTTGTGAAACTCTCCAGTCTTCCTAAGGAAAAGGGGCTAAAAGCTTCTTGCAAGAACCTTTCCCTTTCTTTCAAAATGCTGCAGACTGTCATGCCCAGAGGGGCATTTTACTGGCAGAGGGGACAGTTTCAAATTGCTTGTTGTCTGATACTAATTAAATGTAAATGTGTTTGTGTGTGTATATTTATCTGTTTATCTCTCTGTGTGTACTTATGGTATAAAGCACCAGAGCAGTTTGCCTGCTATCCACATCTGGTTTCTTTCTTGGCAATGTCAGATCCAGTTACAGCAGCATCTCCATTAAATGATGGGAAGGGTAATTTTATTACACTAAGCCTTGTCTCAACCCAGAAGGGGCAAGGAGAGGAGAAGAACCTGTTACCTGCAGTAAGCTTTCCTGAGGATTCTTGGATGAACCTTCCTTTTGTCTTTTCTAGTTCGATTTATAGTCCTGTCCAACAACTACCTGCAGATCCGGGGAATCAAGAAAACAGATGAAGGAACATACCGCTGTGAGGGCCGGATCTTGGCTCGTGGGGAGATCGACTTCAAAGATATTCAGGTCATCGTAAATGGTGAGCAGCTTAGAGTAAGGCTAGTACAGAGGCAGGGTATGTAGCACCTGCACTCCAGGCTGCTGATGGAAATGTTACTTTAGATTCACACTCATGATTTACCATCAGCTTACTAATCTTTCTCTGTTGTGTCAAATAAAAAGGTCCGTGAAATTAGCTGAGTGTTTGCCAGATGTTTACAGGAAATTATCATGTCAAGAGAAACCTTAAGTGTCTCGTGACTTAGAGTGAGGTATTGATCTTGTTGGGAGTCGCAAGTGGTTTTGTCCACAATACTGATTTTCAGTGCGTCTCCCCACTCCCTGCCCTTTCTTCCCTGCCCTTCTTCCAAAGCTGATTGCTTTGGAGAGCTCATGCATCAAACCCATTGATTGAAACGGGCAGGTGATGGCATAAGAGTTTGAATTACTAGTGTCATGTGTGTATTGCAGAGATTTACAGCGAGCCTTCCAGGGCTCACTCTTGCTCACATCTTCTGTCCTTTCTAACTTGAATGTGGATTCCTTCTCTTCTAGTACCTCCTTCTGTGCGTGCCAGGCAGAGCACTATGAATGCCACTGCCAACCTCAGCCAGTCTGTCACCTTAGCATGTGATGCTGATGGCTTTCCTGAGCCAACCATGACGTGGACAAAGTAAGATGCTGTGTGCAATGTGTCCTGATTGTATGTGAGCATGGATGTTTTCACCAAGGCCTGGAAAACCAGGCTGGAGGGAAAGCAACATTTTAACTGGAATAAGATTAATTCATTTTTCTCACAAGAGAAAGAATGGCCTCGTAATGGAATTGTAGTTAGCTTCTGCAATTGCAGTTGTGGGTTAACCCCGGTAGGCAGCTCAGCAGCACACAGCCACTCGCTACATGCCCTGAGTGCGATAGGGAAGAGACTCAGAAGGGTAAAATCCAAAAACTCGTTGGTTGAGATAAAGACAGTTTAATAGATAAAGCAAAAGCTGTGCATGCAAGCAAAGCAAAGTAAGGAATTCATTCACTACTTCCTGTTGGCAGACAGGTGTTTAGCCAGATCAGCTGTTGCAGCTGTATCCCCTCCCAACTTCTTGTTCACCCCTGGCCTACTCTCTGGCAGGGCAGCGTGAGAAACAGAAAACCCTTTGACATTGTGTGTATGCTGTTCAGCAATATCTAAAACATCATTGTGTTATCAACACTGTTTTGGTCACAAACCCAAAACATAGCACCATATGAGCTACTACAAAGAAAATTAACTCTATCCCAGCCAAAACCAGTACAGCTTCCTAGAAAAACAAGAATAACAGTAAAAATAGCAATTTTTCACTGACCTAGTGCATCCTTTGTCAAGCTGCAAATAGAGATGAAGCTTCATGCTGACCAGATCTGTCCCATGGGTCAGTTTATTATCACCTGTTGCACTGATGGGGAAACTTAGGCAAAAGTGAATGCTGTAACTTGCATTTGTCATGCCAGGAGGTCCACATCTAAAGTCTTTCTCTTCATTTCATCAGGTCTAAATTTTACTATCAGGCAGTGATACAGACTTCAGGTATACTGTTCTCGAAATTGTTCAGCCTTTGGTGAAGGTTATGAGGACAAGTTGTAATGCTGAAAAAGCTGATGACAACTTGGAATACTGCCTTGTTATGCAAGGACAGAAGCCTCCTTCAGTGGTGTTTATAGCTCTTGCGTATAGGCTATGATGTATGTCAGGAGGTGCCAAGAGCCCTAAGGCAGGAGGGATTAAGAATAGATCAAAACGTAAGCTTTGTAGCCCATAGGGAAAGGAAAAGGTGGTGGTCCCTCTCAACCTGAGGATTTTCAGTGTAGTAACGTAGTTCTAGCATTAACAAGAAGCCTAAAACAAATAGCCTTTGATTGTTTCTCCTCCCCAACACAGCCAATGTGCTTTGTGCCCTGCAGGGATGGAGAGCCAATAGAACAGGCCGATGATGAAGAGAAATACAGTTTTAACTATGATGGTTCTGAGCTCATCATCAAGAAGGTGGATAAGAGTGACGAAGCAGAATACATCTGCATCGCTGAGAACAAGGCTGGCGAGCAGGATGCCACCATTCATCTCAAAGTCTTTGGTAAACCGTCCCCCTTTTCCAATCCAGTTGGCTCTTGAAAGCTCACTTGTGCAAGCTGGAAGTAACCTACTTATCCTATCCCAGTTAATGCCTGATGTGGCTTATCCAGAGCTGCTTCTTTCCCAAATAATGCTATGCACCTCTGCCATCACACTAGATAAAACAGATTCTGTGTAATTGTCTGAAACAGATGCCAACTCCATTCTGCTTCCTCTCTGATAAAAGAAATTCAGTCCTGTGCAGGGGATGGTGTGAGATTCACATGATGCTTGGAATATCTCCAGGCCCAGAGGGCTGAATCTTAATGCAACCAAAGCTGCTTAAGAAGGGCTTTAGCACTTTACTGGGACTTGTTATAACCTGAACAGGGAGGTGAACTCCACCCCACCACTGTGTGAATGACCTCAAGCTTGCAGGAATGAATCAGCAGCTTTACTACGTTGCATGAATCTCGGAGTGTTAAGGAATATAATTCTCCCTTTCCCATCCCTCTGCAGCCACTTGACAAAGCTGCTTATCAAAAGACTAATTTGGGGCAGAGAAGGTAGACAGCGAGGTGGAAGACTTAGCTGATAATCTCGGGGACTGATCATGTGTAGAAAAGGTCTTCTAGTTCTGCAAGGAGGTACCCTCTTCTCGAATGTCACTCTGCTCCCTTCCCCATATGGCAGTAAACTTGTGCCAATTCAAAAGTCTTTTTTCCCCCAGTGTTGCTTGTTTCAAACATTGCTGTTGACAGGCAAGCTTCATTCTGAGCACCAGCTGAATGAAGGTTGCTTTTTCTTTTCAGCAAAACCCAAAATCACCTATGTGGAGAATAAAACAGCCATGGAGCTGGAGGATCAGATTACACTGACCTGTGAGGCATCTGGGGACCCAATCCCTTCCATCACTTGGAGGACTTCCACCCGGAACATCAGCGATGAAGAGAAGGTATAACCCTTCCCAAAACCATGGTCTTATTTGCTGGGATCAGTGCAGCTTGTATCTGCCTGCATCTGCTGATCCAGAATGCATGATAGTCGCATGCAGATGCACATGGAAATCATGGTGATTCCCCTCTCTGTAGTGAGAACATGTGCGGTCCTGCACAGACTATCTGCTAAAGGGTCAACTCCACAGCTGAAGTAATGCCATAGGTGTCCTTTTGTACAACGAGCGGTCTCAATTTAATTCTTGCTGGTATCCCTCTGAGTTGAATTAACTTGAAAAGCATTAGGCCCTGGACCCTTTTCAGAGGAGTTTCCAAAGTGACCTACAGTTGCAGGAAGCTTGTGAAAGGGTTTTTCCCTTTTGTTTCCGAGCTGAGAAGTGGGAATGAGCACCCTGATTCCAGTGTTGTGCATGCTGTCATCATGATGATGATATGATCTGGGAGGGTGGCGGGTGGAGAGGTGTGGGGTATTATCTCTCAAAGATGTAGTGGGCCAAAATGAACCTGTTAATTCCTTCTTGCCCTTCTGTATTGTATTCTAATACTGCATGTACCTGAAGCACAAAAACCTGGCTGCCTTTGTGTTCACCTGTTTTGTTGATAATGTCAATACCATTTTGTTCTTAAAAGGCAAAAATAATTAGCAGTTTTTCTTTTAAAAAAGAGTGCTGTTTTTTTTTTTTATTGGCCACAATTCCCCTGAACTAGACAAGATCAGGATGTGCTGTATTACTGTAGATACTTGATAATAGTTGCATAAGGTGATCAGGAGGCATAGTTTAGAGCCACAGAAAGCCTAGACAAAAGTTGGAGTGAGTTGTTGTTGTTTATTAATAATCTTCTAATAACAGAATGCTTCAAGGCTCAGCTAACTTGGGCGTACCAGGGGTTCTGACTCAATATGAAGGTAGCAGTTGATAAACTATGAAAGTCTCAAAACAACACAGGTATCCCTTGTCAGTCATCCACACAGCTGCCATTCAGCACTAGAGCTTCCTAAATGAGCTTTTTTTAATTGCCTCCATGATGTCAGCTCTTTACCATGTTGTTAATGTGTAACTTATTAATCAGGGTGCCAAAGTTTTCCAGCCTTAATTCTTTCTTAACATCTTCTGGATTCGTGGACTAGTGTAAATCCCTGCAATGTTTAGAGAGAGATTTCCATTGCCTTCAAAAGCTATTGGCTTGGGCTCTCACTACAGCATGACTGGGGGACCTGTTTTGATAGGGTAAGGTTATTCATGGTCTTGTCTCTGTCTAGGAGAGCGGTGGGAGGAGCTAAGTGCTCTAGTGCTTCCAGCACTAGAGTTTGGATCACAGCCACAGAAAAGAGCTTTGACAGGGAGAAGAATATAAAAACTGAAATAACACTAAATCAGGTAGAAGTTGGTAGGAGAGCCTGTTTGCAGAGAGTCCCATCTGTGCAGCCCAGTTAAACTAACAAGATCTCAGTGGCAAAACTGCTAACCATTTTTGAGACTCTCATATATCCTGTTTGATGCTGTTAAGTTGATGGTCAATATTAAGGCAAATGTTAATACTCTGATAGTTTCTTATATAGATGGGGGGGAATCAAAGGTTTGAGGTACTACCATGTCTCACATGTACTGGTTCAAACTTTCAGGGCAAAGATTTCTTTTTATCATACACCATGCACTTTCTAGGCAGGATTTTTTGTGTGTGTGTTTTGTTTTATTTTGTTTTTTACTTTTTCCCCACTCTCTATCTTGTGCTGTAAGTTTAGGTGAATGGTACAGATGTCCAGAAAATCCTCAAGTCAAAATAGCTCTGATAAACATTCTATTACATGTACAACCAAATGTATATATTCAGTTTACTATCCACTTACTGTCTCTGGGATAGCACAGGGAATAGATGGTCTTTGATGTGGGACAAACAATACTATTTTTAAAATTATCAGCCCTACTTCTGAATATGCTTTAGATACTTGGATGCATCTGTCTTGCTACATGTTGTTTACTTTTGTAATCATACTTCAGTCCAGATTTTTATTTTAAAGGTCTAGAGGTGCCTTAACTCCCACGAACACTTGGTACTTCAGAAAAACCTACTCAAACCCCCAAACAAACAAAAAAACCAACCATCTCTGGCTTAGAGGTTTTTCCCCCCCTCAGTCTTTGTCCAAGAACAGAGACAGTCTGCGGTGTGGATAAGGGGCAGGAGGTGCTATAGCCCAGACACCTAGGTTGACAGTGTCCCAACCATTTCAACATTCCCATGCTTCCCTGAGAGACCTGTTGATATCCTAGCATGCATAGAAAAAGAGTCTCCTCTCTATGGCTATTCCATACATAATGTGGCACCCCTCGGACAAACAATCTTTTGCTTTGAGGATGGTCTGCAAAGGTAAGTGGTTGTGGCTGTGCTCTAGCAAAATCAGATGATTGGCAACTGTATACCAACACAGACGAGCAGACCAAACTTCTAGATACTGGCATGGTGGAAGCTTCGTGGCAGCTGGCATTCCTCTGCCCTGCAGAGAGTGCAAGTAAAATTAAAAAAAAAAAAAACAACAAAACCAAACCAAAACACCCCCCACCCCCCCCCCCAAAAAAAAAAAAAACCCACACCACAAAACCCCCCCTTGCTTATATGTGATTTACTTTGATTGTGAATGTAGGAACATGCTACTTAAGAGAAACTTTTGCCCTGTCAGTCTGAGATTCCTATCTATCGCTACTGCAGAACTAACAGGCCTGGAAAATCATCAACATGATGATTTGAAGTGGTTTGGCTTTATCTTTCCTCGAGTATTTATTGCTGTGCCGTTGTAGGGAGGAGGAATTCTTTCTCTTTGAATGATACCAGATGTAAAGCTGATCAAGCCAGTATGCCATATTCCTCATCACCTTTAGTATATTTCATGCCTTTTTAAGAGACATGTTTCTTCTATTGCTCTAGCAGAATACTAACTGTGATTCAGTAAATATAGTTTTGATCTGTTGTATATTGGTGTATACAAGTTTTACAATTTTAGTGCAGACATGAGTGTGTTTCCTGTCAGATTTTTGGATGAGACAATCGCTAACTACTCTTACACACACTTCCATGAAACAGTTGTGGAGACAGTCCTAAGTTTCTTGCCCAGCAGTATAGCTCAGTGTGTGAGGGAATGGAAAGGGTAACAGGTGAGGCTTTTATGCAGGCCTTTTAACATCTTGCCAGAGCTGGCCATAGGTACATTTGGTGGTGTAGGATCTCACTCAGTACTGCTGTCTGGCCTCCCATGCTAGCTATCAAGACCTGCATCACATTATCATTTTCTCTATGGCAAGTCAAAAATAAAATGAACATTTTCTCACCAGAATGAAGGAAACAAAGAACAGAGGAAGAGATCAGCTCTGGTATTCTTCCTCCTTTATCCTAATTATAGTTTAACCTGCATAGTGTTATTGGGCCTTTTCCACCAAGGCTGTCCCACAGGGTTCCCTGTTCCTAAAGTAAGAAAATGCAAAAGTCTGACTTCTGAATGGATCAGAGTTTGAGAGGCCCCTTTAGGAGGTGACTGCTTGTCTGAATAACAGAAGTCTTTTTGCTCACCCCTCTGACAGGTGAATTATATCGGTGTGTTGTGCTACCCTGAGAACAGTCCAGTGCATCCTTCCACTTACTTTCTGGGTTACTGTTACTGACCAGTAGCCTCTATCAACTCTATGTTGTTGGTAGCTAAAGCAAATAGATAAGTTGTTAAAAATTTAGAAATCTTTAGATGAAAACAACTTGATTGAATTCCAGCAAGGTAAGGAGTGCCCCTTTGCTAGGACATAAGCATTGGGTTGCCAGTGTTGCAGCAGCATGCTAGGGCACAATAACCAGTAGATGAGAGGAACTCATTCCCTTGCACAGCTCACACTAGGTCAAATTTAGTAGTGAAGTAATTAAAAAATAAAAATATAAAAAACTGAGTGAAATAGAGAAGAGCCAAATACTCTGCTTTTGCAAATGAGCATTGTTGCAATACCTTCAGCAAAGTGCTTCTAGATGTGATGCAGCAGATATAACATTTCAAAATTTAACTTAATTTTAATTTCATGATTTTTTTTTTTTCTTTTAAGTGGACAATATGCCTTGAATACAATTCCCTGTCTTAAATTTGTGTTGTACTTTGTATCTCATGCGATGTACATGGGAGTATCTTTGGATTTAATGATCCAGGGAGTAAACTACATGGGTGGTTCCCAGGAACTCCCTCGTAACTGAAGATGCTCCCATTTAACAACTTGCTTCCAAAGGGAAGGGAAGATGCTAGCATGCATGAAGCTCTTGGTTTGCCTTCTATCCCCTGCATGGTGCTGAGTAGAGCTTGTGTATCTCTTTGTCTTGGTGAGGGAGAGTTAGTATGAAACTCTCTAGGATGGAGAATGTGGTTCTGCCTTTTTTCCCCACACCCACAAGTGCCATTACAAAGAAACAGCTAACTCTAGGAGTGTGGGAACAGGCTTTTTTCCTCCTTCATCTTCCTTTAGGTTGACAGGTACTGAACACCAAAGGATAAAAAAATGTCTGTCTTTCATCATAGAGATGCAGTGAATAGGCTTGAAAGGGGACTTGCATGGGTATAAGCAAGGCAGTTCCCCAGCTAGCCTGGCTTGTTCAGGTACAGAGAATGACTGGTACATCAAAAAGGGATTATGCTGAATTATTATGGTTGCCTGTTCAGCTTGCAAGGAACTTGTGCACAACAGGAGAAAGATATCTCTCTCTCTCTCTCTCTCTCTCATGGAAATGATCAGATGATGGGAGTGTCCTAGCCCATGCAGGTGTTGGTGAGCTTCTCTTCAGATGGCTTCACCTCAGGCCTCTAGTGACAAGCAAATAACTTGCTTTTATCAAAGACATTCTAAAATGAGGCTGTCTGTACCAAGTCTCACTGGAAGCACTGTGGAAACAATACTATGGTTTTTATTCTCATTTCCTAAGCTTTCATCTCCATTTCTGTAATGTCACTCTTGTGTATGCTGTTATATCCACACATCAG